GACTATATAAAGGCATTAGGCTTACGATGGTCACCGTCATTAGATTGTTTTTTGTTTAAGTACACACAGCCCCCACGATCATCGAAGGTGACCAAAAGTAGTATACTGTCACATATTGCACGTTTCTTCGATCCATTGGGGTTATTCAACCCTCTCGTCATCAGCTACAAGATTCTGATGCAGAAATTATGGAAACTTCGCTTAAACTGGGATGAAAGTGTACCATCCTGTCTACACACAGAGTGGCAGTCATTTTGCGAGCAACTACCCCTAGTCGAAAATGTCAGGGTGACCAGGTTAGTACAATTTGGAACTGAATACACCCTTCACGCATTTGCAGATGCAAGCACCAAGGCGTACAGAGCCTGCATATATATGGTTTCTTAGTCAGAGGGCTCATATCGGTCCGCTCTTTTGTGCGCAAAGTCCGACGTCGCGCCCACTAAAGAAGTCAGTCTACCGCGGTTAGAGCTCTGCGCAGCGTTGCTTTTAAGTGAACTATTATATACAGTTCACCAGCTGCTTCATCCTGACCCACCCAACGTGCACTTCTGGACGGATTCCATGGTTGTTTTGGCATGGATTAACGGCGAGCCGTCAAAATGAACGACGTTCGTTAGCAACAGGGTTTCCATGATCCAAACGCTCACATCGAAATTGCAGTGGCATTATGTTCCGGGTGAGCTGAACCCAGCTGATATTCTATCCTGCGGGGCGACACCAAAAAGTCTTCTCGACAACAAGTTGTGGTTCCATGGTCCAAATTTCATCTTACTTCCAAATCAGCATTGGTCACATGTTGCAGTTAGCCCAAATGAATTGCCAGAACAACGCAAGCAGCCAACTGCGTTAAAAGTAACGCCTAATACAGACATCATCGCCGAGCTTAAACTTGTCAACAAGTCCAACAAAGTTCTTCGAATATTTTGCTATGTACAACGATTCATCGATGCAAGTCGCGGTAAAAGTAAGCGTCACGACAATATCAACGTAGCAGAAATGAACAACACACTATACACCATTTGTCACATTATTCAAGGCCAAACATTTCTCGACGAACGAAAGCAACTTGAAGCCAGTAACATATTATCGCGAAAGTCATCGTTGGCACAATTGTCATGACGGTCTCATCAGAGTCGGTGGCCGCCTCGCCAACTCAACCCTTCCATTCGAGGAAAAACATCCTATCTTGCTTCCAAAAACTCATCCCTTCGTTTCAACAATCATACTCCACCTTCATCGACAGCATCTTCATGCTAGAAATCAGGCTTTACACAGCATTATACGAGAAATATTTTGGATTTTTAATGCACGAAACACCATCCGGCAGGTAACATAAATGCTTAATATGTAATCGTTTTCGTCCTCTGTTGGCACAACAGATAATTGGCTCGCTGCCGAAGGATAGAGTAACTCAATCTTCTCCATTCGAAGTAACCGGTGTGGATTATTGTGGTCCTCTGCTGATGACGCAACAAATTCGAAGAAAATCACCTATTAAGGTATATCTTGCGGTGTCCATTTGCTTCAGCTCCAAGGGCGTCCATCTCGAGTTGGTGCCTGATTTCACATCATTATCGCTCGTCGTGGAAGGTGTCGGGTCATCTACTCGGATAACGCAACGAACTTTGTGGGCGCTAATCGCGAGCTTCGAGAGCTTCTTCAACAATTCATGTCACAACAGCATAACGATGAAGTGCGACAGGCTTGCTGTGCAGAAGGCATCGAGTGGAAGTTTATACCCCCCCGCTCTCCTCACTTCGGCGGCCTGTGGGAGAGCGCAGTGAAGCAAGCCAAACATTATTTGCGCCGAGCCATCGGGGCTCATATTCTAACGCAAGATGAGTTGCACACTATTTGTTGCCAGGCGGGAGCGATTATAAATAGCCCACCACTAATGCCCATAACAAGTTCACCGGACGATATGCGTCCTATAAAACCAGCTCATCTTCTTATCGGTCGCTCATTTACCAGCATACCAGAACCCTCAATTTCTTCGTCAAAAGCAGGAGCACTAAAGCGTTATCAATTATCAGTAGATACAACAACAATTTTGATGTGGAGTTTTGAGTGGATGTTGAGGCACCAGAGCCCTCAACGGATTAATACAGAATTCATGAAGGGCAATTCATAACGGGAGAAACATCCGACCAAAATTTATTGGTTCCGTCGCTCGCATTTGAAAAGTAGGTAAATTGTTTTCATAGCAAGAGCACAACTGTTACTTCCTAGTCACATATGTATTTACGTGTGCAAACATCCACATACTTGTTACATAAATATGTACATCACCGCTAGTCGTCAGCTGCAGCAACTAATCCATCACCACCTCACCGCACTTTCGTCGTCTTCGCCAATAACATCTTTTGCCTTCGCTTTACTGTTGTGTTATGCGCTTGGGAGCCCTAGCGCTCCGCCGCTGCTACCTTCAAGATAGTGGTGCTCCCGGTTCGATGTGCGGAGCCCTGGCGCTCCGCCCTTGCTACCTTCACG